ATATATATATATTTACAAAGTAAATAAGCCCTGCAGGAACTCATGACAGATGAAAAATGGAAGGGATATTAAGGATAACTCTTGGATTTTTAGTTTGTGTATATTGTGTAGGAACAACGGAAGACATCCAGGCTTAGAAGAGAGGGTTGGGGTACACACAGAAATGTTGAAATTGGGTTGCCTTTGAGATATTCCAAAGGAGATACCCAAGAGCCAAACGGTTATATAGATCTGCAACTCAGGAGGGCCAGGCTGTAGATACGTACTTGTGTAAATCTGCATGTACAGGTGGCAAATGAAGTGTGGGTGTCACTGAGTACCCAAGAAGAGGATACAGACTAAGATGGGAACAAATCTGGAAGAACTTTAAGATAGTAAGCGGGCCATCAGGGAAGTTCTTAGTCTTTCTGTGGAGCCCCTCCCCCTCCATAGAACTCTTGTGTCCGAGAGCAGGTTTCCTGTTTTCCCACCGACTCACCTGCAGTAGCCTCACTTGCAGCCTCTGCGTCCCACTACTTTAGGTATACTCTGCGCAACTCCGTGGCAACTACATTCGTCACCACGTCGGAGCCAGAGCCTTAAACGCAGCTACAACGCCTACCGGGACCTGTAGGCCGCAGGGCGCGCTGGGAATTGCAGTTCCCTTTGCCCAGAAGTCGAGGCCGGGTCCGGAAATAGCAACACCCCTCCTCCCTTCCCAGTGGCCCTCACACTTCCTTTTCCCGGGTCCTCCTTTATAACCTGCGAACGACAACAGCCAACAGGGGCCAATCAGAGGCTGACGCGAGGGGGCGGGCCCGTTGTTTAAACTAATTGCGTTTTGCGAGTGCCGGCGCGAGCCCGTGGCGAGGTGTAACCTGGGTGAGCGCGTAGCCAGGTAACCGGCGCGGGCCCGCGGCTGGTGTGCGGCCTGGGTTCTCGCAGGGATGCCCAGGCCTAACCAGGGTGCTGAAGAGGCGGATGCGAGCGGAAGTCCTTCGTAACCGATCCTGAGCGGGTAGAATCTGTTAGGGGTAAGGTTCGAGGGAGTGGGGGATTCCGTGGGGGAGGAGCCGGGGTGCGGGGTTCCGTCTGGGGCGTGTCCGTGGGAAGAGGTCTGGGGTGGGGTGGGTGAGGGGTAGTGCAGGTTCCGGAGAGATTGTAATTGAGGAGAGCTGTAACGGAAAGTCCTCGCCTGTTATTGTTAACAATCGTAGCAAAAATTTCCTGCGCACACTCACTACGTTTCTGGATTTTCCTTACAGATCTTTCTATACTTTATTGCAGACGGGTATCCTGAGTTTTATAATGTTTCACTTAGCCAAGAAAATATGCTCAGTGTGAGGTTGGGTATGCTTGGAATTTTTGAAGGTTGGGCATAAATAATTATGACGGGAAGAGGCTGTGTGGGGGTGCACAGTGTTTTAGACTATTTTGATTTTAACTTTTTATATATGTAAAAGATGATTTTACCTGCGATACGAAGGTTGTTGTAAGGGTCAAATCAGGTAAGGTGATTCGTGCAAGCACCATGGAGAGTACAAATTGAAGACTTTTGCCACGCTCAGTAGCCCGCGCCTGTAATCCTAGCCGCTGTAGAGGCTAAGGCAGAAGGATCCCAAGTTCGAGCTAAGCCTGGGCAATTTATTGCCGAGTCCTGTCTCAGAAAGATGTGGGGTCGGGTATGGTGTCTCACACCTGTAACTCCAGGACTCGGGAGGCACAGGCAAGAGGATCCTCATCAGTTTGAGGTCAGCCTGGACCACATAGTCCAGGTCGTTCTCAAAACCAAAAAAAAAAGGGGGGGGGGCGGTGAGGATGAGGCGCAGTGCTAGACCGCCCCTGGGTTGCATCCCTGGTATCGCCACAAAGCAAAACAAGAAACCCTCTAAGTGATGTGGGTGGGACTGTGCAAAGACTGTGGGAGGGCACCCTCTTTTGCTTTCCTTGAAGTAGTGCTTGTCATCTGGTATTAGTTTCTCTACATGTTTGTTTACCCTTCTAGATAGTGACTTTTTTTGTTGTTATTATTACATCTTGGTGGCTATGCAAGGTTTGAACATGTTCTGACTATTAATATATGTTTGGATTTTTTTTTTGTTTTTGGTACTGGGGCTTGAACTCAGGACCTTGCCCTTGTGAGGCAGGCGCGGTGCCACTGAGCTAATCCGGGGGCCCCTGGGTTTTTTTTTTCTTTTTTGAGACGAGGTCTCATTATATAGTTTAGGCTGGCTTTGAACTCACTACTATGTGTAGTAGTGACCCTCCTGCCTCAGCTTCCAGAGGGCTGGGATTACAGGCATGGGCTGTCTAGCCCAGCTATTAATGTGTATTTTGAATGGTGTGGGTTTTTTGGCCTGAAAGCAGATAGGAGTCTGGCTTTCCCATCTCATTTAATGCCTTTTTTTTTTTTTTTCTTTTGTACCGGGGATTGAACTCAGGACCTTGCACTTGTGAGGCAGGCTAAATCCCCAGCCCTCATTTGATGGCTATTGAACCTCAGCATTAAGGTATCCTCTTTCTTGGAATTGCTAGCACTGCCTCCTGAATGTGTAATATTTATTTGCTTTAATCCATACTTTCCTTTCTGTCCTGGCTGTTGTCTGGTTTTGTGTTTCTAAAGATCTGGGTTGTCAAATATGTTATTCTGTGATAGGCAGGGACCTTTGATGGTGAAGGAGGTGGAGTGCTCTTCCTTGTGGAGATCTTTACCCTTGTGAATGTATGGGAACCTGAATGGAGTGTTCTGATAAAGTGAGGAAGTTTTCAGTCAGCAGGGGTGGATGTATGTAGTCCCTCCTCTTCCTATTTGGTATTTTCTGTTAGAGGAAGAAGCGCAATATACGATTTTTTTTGGCCCAAGTTGAAGCAAATGATGAATAATTTTAATGCCTGAATCTTATCTTTTTTTTAGTCCTGGGGATCAAACTCGGGTCCTTGGGCTTGCGCAGCAGGCATCGAAACCACTGAGCTAAATCCCCGGCCCTAATGCCTGAATCTTAATCCAAGGACAAAAAGTATAGTACTCCTCAAAAACTAGAAAATCTTACCTAAAGGTCATTAAGAAACATTTCTACTTAGGGCCAGAGATATCGCTCAGTGGTGCAGCACCTGCCTGGCAAGTGGAAGGCCCTGAGTTCAATTTCCGGTACCAAAAAGAAAAATTTTTATTTAGAATTTTTTCTTTTTTACTTGTGGAATATGGAAGTGGGGAGAATGCTTAGAACTAAGACAAATTCTAGAACTGGTGGAGGACAAAGGCCTCTTTCAGATGCCTAAACGTAGCTAATGAGGGACTGTTTTGACAGCTGTGTCTAATTGATAAAATCTGATGGTGAGAAAGTATTGAAGTCATTTAATTCGGCTCCTTACCCAGTGCACACTAAACATATAAAAAAATGTTGTTTGGGCTCAAAATGATCACATACAAAAATGAGACTATTCTTAGATGCAGGCCATTTCATTTCATTCTTTGACTTTGACTGAACCTAGGGCCTCACACATGCTAGGCAAGTGTTCTAGCACTGAGCTACATCTTCAGCTCAAACAGTTCTGATTAATAATACTTGTTTTGTGATGTTAGTGATTTCTTCTGCCTACCTATGTATGTTTACTTTTTCCCTACCATTCTTTCTTGTGTATTATTCTTTCTTTAGATGTTTCCTGTAGTGGGGGTCTGAAAGTGGTAAACACTGACTTTATTGAAAGAAATATTTCATCTTTAGTTTTTTTTTTAATGTGTTTTTCTTTTTGAGGCAAGGTCTCCCTTTGTAGTGCAGGCTGGCCTTGAGCTCACTATGTAACCCAGGTTGGCCTCAAACTCACTTCGAACCTCCTACCTCAGCCTTCAGAGTGCCAGGATTACAGGCATGTACCACCACATCAAGCTTATCTTTAGTCTTTTTTGTTTTTGGTACCGGGGATCAAACTCAGGACCTTGTGCTTGCCAGGCAGATGCGGCGCCACTGAGGTAAATCCCCAGCATCTTTAGTCTTGATTGACACTTTAGCTGGGAACTGGGCTTCCAAATATTTTCTCTAGGTACTTTGAAAATGTAATTTAATTTAATTTCTGGCTTTTTGGTGTTACTCTATAGAATTATGCTCACAGCCACATAGTAATTTATGTAGCTGTATTTTCTTTCTTTTTGGAGTGGAATGGCTAGATTGTGTGGTAAATATATGTTTAACTTTGTTTTTTGTGGTACTGGGGATTGAACCAAGGGCCTTCACACTGAGCCACATCCCCAGGCCTTTAATTGTTATTATTATTTTTAAATTTTGAGATAGGGTTGTGTTAATTTGCCTGGTCTGATCTTGAACTTCTAATCTTCTGTCCTCAACCTCCCAGTGTGTTGGGATTATAGGCCTGCATCACCAGCCTCAGTTAACTTTTAAAGAAATTACTGGTGTTCTAAAGTGCTTGTGCCATTTTATGTTTCCAACTAAGTATGAAAGCTCCAGGTGCTTTATATTCTTGCCAACACTTGGTAGTATCAGTCTTTAATTTTAGTCATTCTTACAGAGGTGTAGTAGTGTGTGGTTTGAATTCATGTTTTCCTGATACCCGATGATGCGGAACATCTTTTCATGTGTTTTTTTGTTTGTCTTGTTTTTTATTTTTGTTTTTTGAGGCAGGATCTCTCTATGTAGTTCAGGTTGGCCTTAACTCACTATGTAGCCCAGGCTGGACTTGAACTCTTGGAGATCCTCCTGCCTCAGCCTCCTGAGTGCTGGAATTACAGGCATGTACCACCATGCTCTGTTTTTTTCATGTGTTTATTGACTATGTATCTCCTGGAGCAGCTTTGTGTTTGCTTCTGTTTGGCACTCAGTGCTATTCCTATCCTAGGACCAATGTGTTTGTAATTTTGCTCTATTTGTAGATTTCCAGGTCATAGTTGTGTAAATTTGAACTCCAAATGCAATGTTTTATACACCATGGTTTGTTTTGGGGTTTTTTGTACCAGAAATTGAACTTGGGACCTTGTGCTTGCAAGGCAGGCGTCCGAACTGCTGAGCTAAATCCCTGGCTACAACATGGTTTTGAATTTCTAGAAGGTATTTTTTTCCTCTACTTCATTAGGTGAGCAAGGCAAACTTCCTTACTCCCTTGTGGATAGTTTTTTTTTTAGTCTGTCTTTTTACTGGAGGGGTCTCCTTGGTGTCTTAGCCTCTACACAGGGCACACAGATCTCAGTTGTCTCTTGTTGGCTCAAGATCTGTATCCTGTGTTGTGCTGCATGCTTGTAAACCCAGGATTCTGGGAGGCTGAAGCAGGAGGATTGCAAGTTTGAGCCCAGACTGGGGAATTTAGTGATTTACTGAGACTCTATCTTAGAAAAATGAAAAGGGATGGGTATATAGCTCAGTTCGAAGTCCCTGGTTCAGTCCCCAGTAATGGGTAAATGTGGAGAAGATCTGTATCCTGGACTTAGGAGAATATCGTTTCTCACACCACAAGGACAGCTGTGCCATCAGCCCAATAATCCAGTTTCAGCTTTGTCTGTGGTTCCTGGGATTTCCCTTACTTTCTTGTGAATTCAGTTTGTCTATGTGCCAATTTGGATTCAGTGAACAAAACAGAAGTCTTGTTTTGTTTTTTTTTTCTCAGTCCCAGGGATTGAATTCAGGACCTTGTGCTTACCAGGCAGGTGTGATGCCACTGAGGTACATCCCCAGCCCAGAAGTCTTGTTTTGTATTTTTTTG